CGGAACAGATGGTTTGACTATTTAATTCTGTCTCATTTTCAATGATGAATTAATGCCAGTATTTCTCATACTCTTTCAAAAAATAGAAGAGGAGAGAACACCTCCGAACTCAACACCTCCAAACTCATTTTACATGTCCAGTATTACCCTGATACCAAAACCAGACGAGGACACTTCAAGAATAGAAAATTACAGACCAATATCCTTAAAGAACATGGACACAAAAATCCTCAATAAAGTATTGGCAAACCAAGTTCAACAATATATTAAAAGGATTATATACCATGATCAGTTGGGATTGATTCTAGGGCTGCAAGGATTGTTCACCTTCCACAAATCCGTCAACATGATACATCATATTAACAAAATGGAGAAAAAAATCATATGATCATTTCAGTAGATGCAGAAAATGCTTTGACAAATATCCGCATCCACTCATGAAAAAAATTTCAACCAACTGGGTGTTAAGGGAATGTACCACAACATAATCAAGGCCACAAAGTGCAAGCCCACAGCTGATACCTTACTCAACAGTGAAAAGGTCAAAGCTTTTCCTGTAATATCAGGAACAACAAGGATGCCCACTCGCGTCACTTTTATTTAACATAGTACTGAAAATCCAAGCCAGAGTAATTAGGCGAGAAAGAGAAAAGGCATCCAGATATCAGAAGAATTAAAACTTGTTCACAGATGACATGATATTATACAGGAAAACCTAAAGACTCACCAAAAAACTGTTAGAAGTAATAAATGAATTCAGCAAAACATACAAAAATCAATATAGGCATACTTCATTTTATTATGCTTTGCTTCATTGCGCTTTGCAAATATTGTGCGTTTTTGTTTGTTTTACAAATTGAAGGCTTGTGGCAACCCTGTGTTTCTATGCCATTTTTCTAATAGCATTATTTTAAAATTAAGGTATGTACATTTTTAAAGACATAGTTGTACACTTAATAGAGTACAGTATACTGTAAACATAATTTTTATATATACAGGGAAACCAAAAAGTTCATGTGATTTGCTTTATTGTGATATTAAATTTATTGTGGTGGTCTGGAACTGAATCCCCAATATCTCTGTATACAGAAATCAGATGCATTTCTATATGCTAACCACAAACCTATCCAAAGTAGAAATTAAGAAAACAATCCTATTTACAGTTGCATCAAAAAGAATTAAAATACCTGGGAATAAAGGTAAAAAATATCTCTACACTTAAAATTATAAGACATTGATGAAAAAAATTGAGGAAGACAAAAGTAAATGGAAAGATATTCTGTGCTTATGGATTGAAAGAATTAATATGGTTAAAATGTCCATATTACCCAAAGCCATCTACAGATTGAATGCAATCCCTATCAAAATTCCAGTGGCATTTTTCACAGATATAGAACAAACAATCCTGAAATATATGTGGATCCACAAAGACCCCAAATAGCCAAAGCAATCTTGAGAAAGAAGAACAAAGCTAGAGGCATCACACTTCCAGATTTCAAACTATATTACAAAGCAGTAGTAATCGAAAGAGTATGGTATTGGTATAAAACACACATATTTCAGTGGAACATAATAAAGAGTCCAGAAATAAACGTGTGCGTATATGGTCAATTAACTTACGACAGTGGAGGCGCAAATATACTATGGGTAGGTGATAGTCTCTTCGATAAATAGTGTTGGGAAAATGGTACAGCCACATGCAAAAGAATGAAACTGGACCCCTGTCTTACACCACACACAAAAACAACTCAAAATATATTAGACTTTAACGGACGACCTGAAAACATAAAAGTCTTAGATGAAAACATGGGTTGTAATCTCCTTCACCTTGGTCCTGGTGATGAATTTTTGGGATTTAACACCAAAAGCAAAGGCAACAAAAGCAAAAATAAACAAATGGAACTACATCAAACTAAAAGGCTTCTGCACAGCAAAGGAAACCGTCACCAAAATGAAAAAGGCAGCCTATAGAATGGAAGAAACTATCTGCAAATTGTATCTGATGAGGTTAATATCCAAAATACATAATGAACTCACACAACTCAATAGCAAAAATATCAAAGTCTGATTTTAAAAATGAGCAGAAGAACTGAATAGACATTTTTCCAAAGAAGACATCCAAGTGACCAACAGGTATGTGAAAAGGTGTTCAACATCAGTAATAATCACGGAAATGCAAGTCAAAACTCATTGAGATACCACCTCACGGCTGTCAGAATGGGTATCATTAAAAAGACAAGAGATGACAAGTGTTGACCAGGATGTAGAGAAAAGGGAACCCTTGTGTGCTGTTGGTGGGAGTGTAAATTGCTGCAGCTACTATGGAAAGTAGTACAGAGGTCCTAAGAAAATTAAAACTAGATCTGCCATACTATCCAGCAATCCCACGTCTGGGAATATATTCATACAAAAGGGGTGCAAACTTGTAGTCATAGAGTGAATAAGTTAGGAGGATCTAATGTACACATGGGGTGATGTTTATTCAGAGCACTATCTGTACAACTGAAATTTGCTGAGAGTAGAATTTAAATGTTTACATGAAAAATAAAAAGATAAATATATGAGGAGGTGGATCTGTCAACTGAGTAAATGGGGGGGTCCTTTAACATGCACGCATGTATCCAATCTCCACAGTGTACGCTGTAAATGCTTACAGATTTATTTGTCTAATATATCTCAATAAAATTGAAAAGAAAAAGAAAACCAAAAAAGAGTTAATTTGCATGTATTGTAGCAGAGCCTTCTTGAACCTTTTTTTTTTTTTAAATGTACGAGAGGTTTTTTACTAGAATTATGATTGTTGACTAGAGGTCATGGTGTTTCCATTCCTAAGTCTGGTGCACCAGCTCAGAATTCCCTGCAGGTATTCTTGGAGCAGAGGTATCCTGTGACCCTATGACTAAAACCAAGGTGGAAATGCAGATTCTCTGTTACGGTTTCAGGTGCTCCCACCTGTGGAGAACTCTTCTGCATTCATTTTTACTCTTGCTTTCTATCTTTTGTCCTGTAATTCCTGCAGTTTACTTGTGAGATTCTAGGGCTTGGCATTAACTATATACTTCTTTCAGATTGTATTTTGTCTTTTTTTTTTCTTCTCTCTAAAGAAATCTCATAAGATTGAAAACCAGCATTTGGCAAATAATTATCTAAACCATTGTTCAGAGAACACAGTGTTTTGCTTTTTTTCTTGTGTTTATTATAATGGGTTGGCCAAAAAGTTCGTTCAGGGTTAGGATTAGTTCTTTAAGTAGTAAGATTCTTCTTTTTTTTTTTTTTGCAAACAGACTTTCATTATTCTAGCTCAGTCTTTCACACACATACTATACAGAGTCTTATATGGTATAAAACAAAGGAAAACATCTCTGTCTATTCAATTTAACAGAACACGAAAATAAAGCAATTAAGACTTTGGGGAATTAAGTAGTAAGTGTTCTTGAAGAGGCAGTAGGTACATCATGAGTCTAAGCTTGTGATCTCTGGGGCCAGACTGCGTGGCATGCATCCAGCTGTGCCCTCAGCAGATGTCTCACCTGCAGTGCTGCACACTCAGTGTCTCTGTTCATCACTTGTAAAATAAAGATGACAGTAGTACCTCCTTTTGTGGTGTTGTTTAGAGGGGGTGTATAAATGAGTTACTTCATGTAAACAGAATGTTAAGAAGGGCTTGCATATATATAAAGTAGAGATTCTTTGGCATATATGTGATTATGATAATTTTTTAAAAATTGCTGTTATCTATACTGCTTGCACACACACGTATTCAGAAATAATTAGTGCCTGTAGAAAAACAGCTACCTATAGGAAAACAAAGTAGTTGGTAGTGACAATATATATAATATGTTTTAAAGTAAGATCCTTCAATCATTGTGGAAAGAGCATAGGGTGCAAGTAAAATTCTAACAGAATCTGTAACACCAGTGACTAACATTTTTTGAAGATTTATTAAATGCCATACACTGTGCTCAGTTCTTTCTGTTTTCAAGAACCGTTTCCTCATCTGGCTAGTTATACAATATTGGAGAATTTTCTTAACCTCTCTCTAAGCTCTGATTTTATAACGTATGAGGTGGGTATTGATGTCTGTTCTTTCTACCTCAAAGGGATATTATTAGAATAAAATGAGATAATGTAGTGAAATGATCAGTGGACATAACTTTATGAGATAATACATTGATAAATTATATAACATGTAGTCATAATGGTGATTAACAGCTGATCTTGATTTCTCTTAAGATCACAGATGTGTTAGGAGCTGCTGACTTCTGAGTATAGGTAACTTACGAATTTAAAAAAATGTGTGTTTATATGAATTTATAATTTACCTACCTACCTATCTATCTATCTGTCTGTCTAGTCATTGATAGGTCAGGGCTCTTGTGAAGTGCCTGTATGTCCATTGTTATGAATTGTCTTCCTGTCATACATGGAGGTTCTCTTCTTTGTATAATGTTGGTATCCTTGCTGTATGTTTATGATTAATACTCAGTTATCTCTGTAGGCCAAGTAATGAGCCCATACCCAAATCCTCGTTTGAGTGTTCTACCTATCAACAGTCTACAGGTTTTATTCTTGACTACAACTCTGAACCCATTTTACAATTATCTGTTTGCCCGTCTGCTGATCAGATTGTAAGGCCCACCGTGACATGGCTTGTTGCCTTCTTCGTACCCTTGGCACCTGGTGCTTGGCTAGGTAGAGTAGGAAACACGTAATCAGGACATACATATGGAATAAGTAAACTAAGAAAGAATAGTCAGGAAGTCATACTGATCTCAGAGGAGCCTGTATTTCTAAGAATCAGACAACTGATCTTCCGAGAAATCTTTAAAAAGATGACTAACCTAGAAGGGTTTGGCCTCTAGGAAGAGAATGTATTGCCAAACAAGTTAAAATTTGAATGCTTTATTTGTCCCTGATGGGAGGGTATAAAATATAAATGTACTAACTATTCTGAAGCTTTTCTTTTAACTAAGCTTAATACATTATAATTTGTTGAACAGAGGCGGGCTAGCAGAAAGACTAAATGGACTGCAGAATCGAGAGAGATCTGCCATTTCTTTGTGGAGACATCAGTATCTTTCTTACCAAAGGACACTTTCAGGTAAGGCTTGCACTGGCATCTGTGAGTAAAGAAAATGCCAGTTAAAAGTATTTTTACATTAAAATATATGAAGTTGATCATCACTATTTTGACACCTTTTTCTCTAGGTGTCCAAAGATCTGAGTGGGAGGGTTCTGTATTATACCTTTTTCTTGCTCTGTCCCAGTAGCTTTCAGACTTTTGTGACTGTGACCCACAGTAAACAGTACATCTTACAGCATCTCCCAGTACACACACGACATTCACACATATCACTCACACACACACACACACACCCCTGAAACAAACATTTAATGAACAACACTAAGCTCAGTGATGTACCAAAATCCTAGTCTCACTAAATTGGTGCAGGACCCTTCTAATGAGTTGCAGCATTACAGTGAATTAACCAAATTGTCAAGCACAGAGCTGAGAGAGTGTCTTCTGGAGGTTGGACTAGAAAAATACCAAGAACAAACTAGTGTGCCTGGGTGCCTGGACCGAAGGGAAAAGATGACCTTTTGTTTGGCTCATCGGCACCAAATAGCTTATTTGGAATGTTCCTTACGTTTTCCCTTCTTTAATTTGGGAATAGAGGGTATTCATGGTATTTAATTATACCATGAATAAAAGACAAAAGCAAAATAAAACAAAAAACCAGAGCCAAAAATCAATCCATTAATTTGAAAATATGAATGTGACCATCTCTAATAGATTTTTCTGTTAGAAGTCTCTATATTTAGGAATTTGGGTTTTGTCTGTCTCTTAGATGAATTTATTTTTCAGATCTGTGAATCCTCCCCTTGATGTCTTGTAATAAGTTGTGTCTTTTTCTTTACTTTTGATATAACTCATTATAGACATATATTAGGAAGAACATTTCACTATTTGGTGTTTTGTTTGCTGTGTGGCCTGGCAGAAGAAGTTTCTTCTTTCAACATAAGAAACGTTTTTTCTCATTTCTGTATGTGTATATATAGCAGCTGAATAAATGAGAGAAACGCTCGAAAATATTAAGTAGAGGTAACTCCCTCTCTCCCCAATCCCAAGAACTAAAATTTAGTAAACAGCTGAAATTCAGCGATGGATTTGTTAAAATATCTCTGTAATTAAACTCTCTAATCCTCTTGATTTCCCTGTCAAAAATGAGTATAACTGTAGACCCTTGCCTTATGAACTGTGCTAATAATAAATCAAACTGCATGGGAAGGATGTGCAGCTCTAGGATGGCCCTGGGACTTGATAGACTGTGGAAACACAGAAGCACTGTCATTCTGAGGTTGGTTTCACTGCTGCCAGATCTGGAAGTTCAGAAGCAACCGAGAGCAGCAGCTCCTCCTCCCCCTTAGGGTGTGGGTGTACCTCTGGGTTTGCACAGTACCACAGTCAGAATCCCGTCTTCTTCTGTTCAGACTCAAGAGCGTTACTGAGCTTTGGTTAATTTTGAATGACCAGGTCACTGTGTCGGGCTTGATTTTTCCTTCTTCTGATGGGTTTGAGAAATCTAGGAGTTAGTAGTAATTTATGAACCACACCTTGGTTTTTGTTCTGAATATTAAGTATAGTATATCTCACTGAGTCTACCTTTATATCCCTCAGATATGAGAAATTAAGGTTTACAAAATTAATCTGTAATTGTAATAATTTAGCCTGAGGCCTTTCTTCCCAAGTTTCTTATATTTGAGGAGAATTATTTAATTATTCCACAGAGAGGGACATGGAGCCTGGTTACTAACTTGAAATATTTGAGTAGATGTCTTCAATACATCTTTCTGCCCTTTTTTTTTTTTTTATTGCGGTACGTGGGCCTCCCACTGCCGCGGCCTCTCTCGTAGCGGAGCACAGGTTCCGGACGCGCAGGCTCAGCGGCCATGGCTCACGGGTCCAGCCGCTCCGCGGCATGTGGGATCTTCCTGGACCGGGGCATGAACCCGCGTCCCCCGCATCGGCAGGCAGACTCCCAATCACTGCGCCACCAGGGAAGCCCTTTCTGCCTTTTTAAAAAAAACTTTTCATTTGGAGATAATTGTAGATTCACATTAAACTAATGCCATTCTAAGAAATAACACAGTGGCTTCTTGTGCCCCTCACCTCGTTCCACCAAGGATGTCGTTTTTCCTATCTCTAGTATGCTGGCACAACCAGGAATTCATCCAGATACAATTCATCAACCTTATTCAGATTTTACCAGCTTATATGCACTCGTGTGTGTGTGTTTTGTTTATGTAATTTTATCACCTGGGTAGATTCATGTGCCCATTACCACAGTCAAGATACAGGACACTCATCATCAGGATCCCACGGGCTCCCTTTTAGGCACCTGTTCCCACCTAAAGCCTCGCAACCACTGATGTGTTCACCATTTCCATACTATTGTCATCTCAGAAATGTTCCATAAATGAAATAATATGGTATGTAACCTTTGGGGAATTGACTTCTTTTCACTCAACACCATTCCCTTGATATTTATCCAAGTTTGTGTGTATATCAGCAGTTAGTTCCTCTTACTCTGTGATATGGATGTACCACACTTTGTGCACCTGTGGAGGGACATTTGGACCTTACAAATAAAGGTGCTGTGAACAAGATTTTGAGTGAACATAGGTGTTTAATTTTCTGCTATAAATGATCAAGGGTGCAGTTGCTGGGTGTTATAGTAAGTGCTTGTCTAGTTTTGTAAGATGTTGCATATTAATATCAAATATTTCAGTGAGTATCTCTAACACATGTTTCTGGCTTTAAGAAAAAAAAATTTTTAACACCTTTAGTTTGTGGATTTCAACTCTTCTTTTCTTCCCTCATGGATAGCTTACTTTTCTGGGCTGTTTTATAACTCTTACTTATACCATTTAGTAATCAGTTCTGTTTACCTTGTTAGTACCTTCTAGTACATTTCAATATAAAAGACATACATCTCAAGGTTCTTAAAAGTTGAGTAAATTTTTATGTGTGCCTATTTTCTTGGTTTTTGTTGTAGTTGTTTTTTGATACACTCAGGAGAGATTGAGCTTTGCTGTTGAAGGAACAGAGAGAAGCATGTGTACTGCACATGAAGGCCAATATAGATGGGTGTGTTGGATGAAACACAGAAGAGAAGGCAGAGGGTAGACCACTCAGGGCTTGGAGGCCACTCTTGGATTTTATTCCAATGTGATGCCTTGCAAATATGCAATTTAAAATATGGCTGTAGAATAGAGAATTGTGATTATAGAAACCAGAGAAAAATATTTCCTAGATTTCTTTTCAGGAACCATTTTATTTCTCTTCTTCCTATTTGAGGGGAAACAGTTTTCCAACACTAGTTTGCCATTTACCTGGACGGCAATGGTCAGTTTCTGTTAAGTGATATTCAGAGTATTTCGCATGTTTATCATCTCATTTAATCCTCACAGCCAACCCTCCAGTTAGGTTCTCTGATCCTATTTTAGAGACAGAATCTGGACAGGCAGGGTCCTGTGTCCTGGCTAGCAGGTGGCAGAGTCAGATTTATATCAAACAGTCTCCCTTGGTGGCCCGTGATCGTGGCCCATCTTGTTCTGGGTAGATTGCTGGGAAGGCAGATCCAGGCACTGAGGACATGAGCCCATGTTGTGCCCGACTTCTGTAGATATGAGTGTAATGATTCCTTTGTCTGACCTCTGTTTAGTAACAGTGCAACAAATATTTTCACAATATGTTTGATATCTATGTTTTTAAGACTAGTAATAGTTACAGATATTCTTGGATGAAAAAACCCAGTGAACTTCTTATACTGTTCAGGAAGAGTGTAAAGAGAAAAAAAGAAGAAAGAAGGAGTGCAACAAAAAAAATGGTGGGTTTGAGATACATTATTTTTCACAAGATTTTTGTTCGTAGAAGTTCCCTCTAAACTTCAGAAAGAGGACGGGGGGGGGGCGGGTAAGAAAGGAGGGGGATCAGTGAAGCGCGCTAGCAGTTACTGTCGTCCAAAGCAGAATTCCCTCTGGATTTCCTTGTTCGTCACCTTGCTGCCCTTGAACGTGTTGGCAGCGCTCGCTGAGGGCGTGTGTGTGAGCACTGGCCTGTGAGGACAGATGTACTTTAGGTCTCTGTGCACGTGTATGTGTTTCAAAAGTAGTAAATGTGTCACCTCGAATTTAGATTGGCGGTATCAGAGCAAAGCATGAACCTAATTATTCACATTGGCATTAGCATTTAATAGCTTTTGGATTAAAAGGATTTTAGTTTTTTTTACCGTTTTGCCACTGAGTCGTGGTCAGCTGAAACTTTGTAAAGTGTAGGCCACAAAATACTCTAAATACCTCTGTCCGTGCCTTTTGCCAGCATTGCTCACCAGCATCCTGATATAACCACGTGGGAAATCTTGTGTCCACATACAGTGCTAACCAGCCCTTGGATGTCCCATATAGTTGGCAAACAGCCCCTGTGGGCTCACCTAGATGAAATACTGAGTTTCCTTAAAATATCAGTAAATTCACACAAGGCTGCCTGTCTGCCAGAGAATAATTATTTCCTTATTTTTCCCACCGTGATTTTTTCAAAATTACATTCACTACCTTACTGTTTCCCAGTGCCACATTTTACTACACCCTCCACTGCCAAAGCTTTTGTTGTTGTTTTGTGGGGTGTTTGCTTTTTATTTGTTGTTGTTTTCTCCTCCAGAGAACGATCTCTAAATTCAGGGGAGGGGAGAATTTGCTGTTTATAATTTCTCCTTGGATTTCTGGATGCCAGACTTGAAAGTTTTTCAGAGATGATGCAAGTAGGTGAGACACTGGAGTTTAGACTGATGTAGATAATACAAGTGATGGCTCCCACTGAATGCGCCTCCTGCCAGGCCCTGAGTGAGGAGTGCACACAGCTCTCAGAGCAACCCTGTGGAGCTGCACTGTGCCTTCCAAATCCTAAAAGTATCCAAACATTTTATTTTCTAGTCCCTAGAGTCAGAGATTATTTGTTAAGTGAAGAAGGCTGATTTGGAGGCAGGAGCAGGGCCTTACTCTTTGAATGTTAAGTTTTTCACTGCCTATTCTTGATAAACA